CAGAGGATAATGGAGGATATGGTGGAGTCGTTTGCAGCAAGGCTGACGCTAACCTCCGAGGAGCAGATGGTGGTTGTGGTTGATGATAAGGAAGGTGCTTTCCTTAGGATGACTAAGGTATTTCTAGTCGGGAGAGTGCTTTCTCCTAAACCAGTTGTTAAGGAAAGGTTTAAGAGACAAATGATGCATTTATGGCGACCTAAGGCTAAAGTCATGATTGTAGATTTAGATGATGATCTGTTCTCGTTTAGTTTCGAGACTAAATGTGAAAGAGTGATGGTGTTAAAGGGAGGTCTGTGGCTTTATGATGGTGCTTTGTTGATCTTGGTAGAAACAGATACGTTGGCACATCCCAATACGATCCAACTTTCCTCTTAGGAATTTTGGGTTCAGATCAATGGTTTGCCTCTTGCGTATATGACTAGGCACATGGGTCAATTTATTGGGAATCAATTGGGAGAGCATGTTCTTACTAATTAAAGCAGGAAGGGATAGATTGAGGGAAATTTTCTGCGTATCCGTGTGACTTTAGATATCAAGAAACCGTTTCGACGCAGTTTGCTACTCTCTATTAAAGGTGCCATGGTGAGTGTCAATCTTCAATATGAGAAGATGCCAATAACTTGTTTTCTTTGTGGGATTGTTGGTTATTTGGAAGAACAATGTGGGTTGTTCAAAGGAAAGAATGAAGAAGATATGTCAAAATCCTACGGTCGTTGGTTCCAGAATGGCATCCTTGATGCCAATTATTGTAGAACTCAGGGCACAAGGTATGATTTAGATTCTGGATGGGGGTGGTCTATGAAAGCTCCAGGGGGAGTAGAAAATGATGATGATGTTTCTGCTTTTTATGTGATTAAGGGTATGAAGACCGATATGATTAGGGTGACGGCAATCGGTGGTGAGGGATCCATGGGTGGTGCTAGGGGGTCGATGCAAGATTGCATGAGCAATAATGATCGTATTGATTTGCCAGATTTGAATGAAGCCGTTAACCATGATGAGATGCTAATTGATGATTTCGAAATTATTCCTTTTAATGGGCATCCTAATGGCACGGATTTGGAGGCAGGTTTGTATGAGGAAGTCAATGCTAGATGTCTACGTCTATTTGGGGTCGACTTGAATGATTCGCCAACTGGCAATGAGGTGTTTACACCTCATCAAGCAGTTTAGGTAATTGATGTTGCAGTTGGGGTGTCAAGTTGCCGGGTAGGGTTTCAGGTTCACCCACGTGTAGAATCGCCTCAACTAGTGTTTCAGCATAAGGCAAGTTGATCACGCAAACAAGTAACAGTTGCGACTCGAGCTCAGGAGTTTGGCACATTCGAGATAGGTTCAGACCATTTTAACTTGATGTCAATCATTGAGCAGTTTCAGGCAAAGCGGAGGAAGAAAGTGAAGAAAGCTAAAAGATAATAGGGCCTAAAGGAGTAACTCCCATGGCGTGGTTAGGGTGGTCACTGATTTACCATTACCAGAGTTGGGGAAACAGGCTGAGCGGGAAGGGGAAGATGATGTGACTCTTTTAAGGGGGCGTACGTTGGAAGACTCAAGCATATGGGTAGAGGTTGACGAAGTTCAACCTCGCCGGGTACAATGAGTTGCTTAAGTTGAAATTGTCGGGGGCTTGGGAACCTCTGTGCAGTTTATGGCTTTAACAGCTGATATTTAGTAAAGATCCCATTATAGTGTTTTTGTGTGAGACCAAAAGTAATGTCCGGTATATGGAACGTCTATGGGTGAAGTTTAATCATGATCATAGTTTCATAGTGGATAGTAGAGGCAATTCGGGATGTTTGTGTGTTTTTTGGAAGGAAGAAATAGATCTAAGGTTACGGTCTTATTCTCAGCACTATATCAACTTTTATGTGAATGTGTTAGGTGGTGTTTGTTGTTGGAGGTTAACGGGGTTTTATGGCTATCTCGCAATGTCTGATCGAGTGAAGTCATGGCAACTGTTGGACAATCTTTGCGGTGATGCAACCTATTCGTGGCTTTGTGTTGGTGACTTCAATAAGGTTTTACAGGCTAATGAATATGAGAGAGGTAATCTTCGTTGTGAACGCCAGATGGAGGGTTTTCGTAACATAGTAGAGAAGTGTCAGTTGAATGATTTGGGATACTCAGGTAACATGTATACGTGGTTCATAACGAGAGAAAGGGGCATCAAGGTGTGACTCGATCGGGCTATGGGAACTCAAACGTGGATGGATCTTTTGCCGAGTTTTAGAATGCAGCACTTGAACAAAACTTCTTCTAATCATGTCCCAATTTTGTTAACTTGGGAAGGACACGGTATGAAGAGGGGTAAGAAAATGTTTCAATTTAAGGAGGCCTTAAATATGCATGAGGGGTGTGCGGTTGTGGTCCAGAATGGGTGGGAGAATAATGTGGGGGGCTTGACTAATTATCAGTTCGCTGAGAAAATTAAGGCAACGAGGATGCAACTGAACAATTGGGTTCGTAGTAATGCGAGGATAGGGCCGAAGGGGATTAGGGAGGTTAAGGATAAATTAACAGCTTTGTTGGGCCAACCCTTTTACGGATTAGTCGATTGAACCAAAAAAGATACTTGTTGAACGTTTGAACCACCTGCTTGAGCAAGAAGAATTGTTCTGGAGACAAAGAGCCAAAGAAAATTGGGTAAGACTGGGGGATCGAAACACTAAATATTTCCATCAGAAAGCTAATAGGAGACAGAAGAGGAATTGGTTGCACAGACTTCTTGATGATGATGGGAATTGGTATAAGGACAAACAGAGCATGGCTAATGTGGTGGTAAACTATTTCTCCAATTTATTTATTTCCAACGGTACTACGAAAATTGGTGAAGTCCTAGGTTGTATTACACCTATGGTCACAGATGATATGAATTGGGAACTTGGGAAGCGTATTACGGATGAGGAAGTGAGATGTGCTGTGTTTCAAATGCACCTTACGAAAGCTCCAGGACCGGATGGCATGACTCTGGGTTTTTACCAAAAACATTGGGGAATTGTTGGTCCGGATGTGTGTAACGGTATCCAAGAAATGGTGATATTAGGGAAAATTTTATGGAAGATTAATTATACTCATGTCACCTTGATTCCTAAGGTGAAAGAGGCAACAAAGATGAATCAGCTGCGCCCTATTAGTCTTTGCAATATGCTTTATAAAATTATGGCGAAGGTTTTAGCGAATCGTTTAAAGCTCATCCTTCCTCGCATAATTTCTCCTACGCAGAGTGCGTTTATTCCTGGAAGGTTAATTTCAGATAATTATTTGGTGGCAGCAGAGGTCGCTCATTATATGCATAAGAGAGCCTCGGGGATGAATGGGCTAATGGCTCTGAAATTAGATATTAGTAAGGGTGGAGTGGAAGTTTCTGGAGGCAATGATGGGCCAATTGGGTTTCTCACCGAATTGGATTCATATGATCATGCTATGTGTTTCAACTGTGACTTATTCTTGTAAGCTAAATGGGGAATCGATGGGGTATGTTCAGCCAAGTAAGGGTATTCGACAAGGAGATCCTTTTTCCCCATATCTATTTGTCTTGCGTGCAGAGTGTCTCTCAGCTCTATTATCCACGGCTGAGACCCAAGGGGTCTTACAAGGTGTTAACATAGGTCGTTGAGCTCCGAGCATTCACCATTTGTTATTCACAAATGATAGTTTAGGGATTGTACGTGGCAGCCTCGAGACAAGCAGTAAATCTAGACAAAAGTTGTGTATCTTTTAGCACTAATCTCACAATTTGAGAAACAACTCCTTGCAAATTGTCTAGGTATGTGAAGAGTTGAATTTAACGATAAATACCTAGGGTTACTGATGTTAATAAGACAATTGAAGAAAGAAACATTTAGGTATGTGAATGACCGGTTGTGGAAGAAGCTACAAAGTTGGAGGGGTGGTTTTATTAAGTTGTGCGGGCAGAGAATTGCTAATAAAGACTGTGGCACAAGCCTTGCCCATGTATTCTATGCAGTGCTTCTTCTTGCCCAAGTCCTTTTATGAAGAACTAAATACCATGATTGCAAAGTTCTGGTGGAGTGGCGATCCAGGCAAGCGGAAGATTCACTGGCTTAACTGGCGCCATTTATGTAAATCGAAGCATGAGGGAAGATTGGGGTTAAGAGATCTTTTTGCGTTCAACCTTGCTTTGTTGGCAAAGCAAGCATGGCGCTTTCTTCATCAACCTGATTCCTTGGTGTGGCGAGTGTTCAAAGCTCATTATTTTCTTACTACCGAGTTCCTCAGTGCTTGAGTTACAACGAACAGTTCGTATGTTTGGATAAGCATTGCAGTGGCTAGACCTGTGTTAATGAAAGGGTGTAGGTGGCAAGTAAAGGATGGGAAATCTATTAAAATTTGGCAAGATAATTGGCTACCAAAGGGAGTCATTTTTTCGAGTGTTCAGCCTACCCCGAAGGGGTAAGATATGGAGTGTACGGTTGATAAGTTGCTTATGGTAGGTTCGCAGTACTAGAATGTGGGGTTGTTACATGACTTGTTCTCTCAAGAGGAAGTTGAACTAATGTTGAGTATTCTTTTGAGTATGCAAATGGTAGTGGATCGAAGAATTTGGCATTTCGAATGTGATGGGAAGTTTTATGTTAGAAGTGCCTATCATATGGAGATGTTTATTGGTTCTGCAGTAGGTGATGAGGTTAGCGGATCTGCTTCATAACCTGATGACAGACGAACGAAACTGTTGAGGAAGGTACTGAATGTGTGCATCCCAAGGAAGGTTAAAATATTTGTCAGGTGTGCATGCTTAGATGCACTTGCCCACGAAAAGTAATATTTCCAAATGGAGAGTGGAGGTGGTCAATTGTTGTAGCTTATGTGGGTGTAGTGGTGAATCAACAGAACATGTCTTAAGGGATTGTAATATGGCTAAGGCAGTCTGGTTTGGTGGCTTGGGGATTAGGGTAAAGAATGATACTCAATAGTTCGTATTTTGGTTATCAAATATTGCTAAGCACCCTTCCGTTTTGGTGTTCTAATTATCATTGATGGTCATCTGGATGATATGGAAGAATAGGAACGATGGGCCTTGGAGTGGGAATCGATTGTTACCTCAGGACTTGTTGATTACAGCGGAAAGTTGGTTACAGGAGTACCATAAATGGCACAAGTTGGGAGCGAAAAAATCCATGAAGGTTCAGCAGAAGTGGCGGAGACCTGGGGTTAATTGGGTCAAGTGTAATTTTGATGGGGTGTGGATACAACAAGGTTCAAGGGGAGGTTTTGGAGCTGTACAGCGTGACCATATGGGTGAGTTTGTTGCTGCAGCAACGGGACCGTTGGGGTGGACATGTCCTTCTTTTCATGCAAAACTTTGTGCTGCACAACAAGCATTGCTGCTGGCACAGGCATATTGCCCAGCTGGTAAAAGGATAAGTTTTAAAGGTGATTCCAGTCTTTGATGGCTACCATGAAGTGCAAGGAGGATGATTGTTCTGCATTAAGGAATATAATAAATGACTTGCGTTTTTTGCTCCAATACTTTCCTGATTCAGAGGTAAGTTTGGTGTAGCAAGGTTGTAACTCGGCTGCACATAGGCTTGCAAGTATGAGGCTAGGCAGTACCCATTAGCTTAGGTGGTTTGAAGATCCCCCTGATTTGCTTAGGGATATTTTATTTGAAGAAAGTTTGTAGGGTTATGATTTTATGTATTGTCATTTAAGGATAGTTCTCTTTGTTGTACAGGACACTCTTTTCCCTTCGACCGGAAGCCCCTGCAAGGTTTTATTGAGGCCCATTATGCACGCTATCTTCAGTTTGTACGTGTTCTATTTCATTGAAATGAATAATGTACTTTTCCCTAAAAAAATTTACAATTAATCAACAAATTTCTTTTCTTAATTCAAATTCCCAAAAAAAGATTAATCTCAATTATTTAAGGCTGTATCTAACCCCTGTTAGATTGTCTACGTACCCTTGAACGGGATTAAGCCTTTCGTAGTTCATGTTCAATCTTAATCCATTTCCGATTATATTCCAAATAAATGAAATATCCAACATTAGTTCTAATGATTGAAACACATCCAATGGATACCAAATTCGTATTTAGAATATCAAAATTTGTACAAAATGGTAGCATTGGCCCATTGGCCATCCGTCGTCGTGGGTGGCAGTTTTCGACGAACGGAAACCCTAAATTTCGACCAACTCTAAAAATTTCCAAATTTTACAAGCAAGTAGAGTTCAATGAGAGAAACAACTTTCATACCTAGGCCGAAGTCCAATTCGCCTCGGAAACACCTTAAATCGCCCTCGAACCATCGGAAACCCTTAAATTGGGTGTTCTTGATTTGACTCCAAAACAGTTCTGACACCACAACCAGTGTTTGGGCTTTGTTCTTAGGGTTGAGGGGATTCTATTGGTGGTGGTGGTTGACGAAATTTGTTTCAGAAATAGCGGAACCGATGTCGTGGCTTCGGAACACCCACAACGCCACCTCGTCGTGAAACATGACCAAATTAGGTCGATTTTGGGTGGAAAATTGAAGAGGGAGCAACGACATGATGATTGGTGGTGGTAGATCATGTCAATTTGTCGAAAAATCAACGAATTTCACCGAAAAATATATCGGGTTCGATGAGGTATACTGGTCGGCCCCCTTTCTCTCTTTGTCTCCCTCTCTCATTTCCCCTCATTTCCCCCTTCTAATTGGGTAGTTTCCCACCCCTTCATCTCATTTCTCTTCTCTTTTTTTCATCTCAGCCGTTCATCTCTCTCATTTCTCTTCCTTTCCCTTCATCCCAGCCACACATGTGGCACCACCCATTGCTCCAGATTTTCTGGAGCCTTCTAAAATGAAGTGAAATTACCAAAATGTCCCTGACTAAAAAATCTTAATAACTCATTCGTTATAACTCCATTTCATGAACGGTTTACGCCTATGCACTCGTGAGATTAAGCTTTATTCAAGCATAAAAATTCTGACCTCGAAAGGTCTACGGATTTTAGATAATTAATTTCCAAACTTCAAACTTTGTAACTAGTTTAATTTAAAACTAAATTGAAATAAATTAATATAAATTCTTGAAAAATAATATAAAATCTTAATAATACAAATACAAAAATTATAATAATTTCCGGTAACAAAATTTTAAAATTGCTCAATTAAATTTTCATAACCATAAATCAATTTATTTTCGATTTTCTCCACATATTCATAATTATGAATATTCTATTTCATATATTTAAATTTTCAGGGTATTACACCTTCGATGTGTACTTTCTAAATCCTTATGCGAATTTCTTAATGAAGAATTTGTCTTAACACCAAGGCTTTAGGGCTTGTTTGGATGTACTTTTAAAATGACTGAAAGTGTTTTTAGTGAAAATATTTTTGAAACCAATCCTTAATAAAAATGCAAGTAAATCCTGGAAGAAGCACATAACTGGTACTTCTTGCAAAAAGCACTTCAAGTGCTTTTGGAACCCAAAAACATTTCCTCTAAAAGCGCTTTCAGTCATTTTAAAAGCACATCCAAACGAGCCCTTAGTTTGTAATGTGGTTGAAATTTAATTGAATTTTGAAGGGTTGTCCTCTTGATTAAATAAGTTATTCAAACGACTTATTAGCTAATGCTAACCATCAGATTAGAATAAGCAACTCTTTCTTTAATTATTTGTCACTTTCATTATCCTTCTGGAAGAAAATTAGGGAATGATCGATGCTTATGTGTCGCATATGTCACGCAGTGAGCCACTACACTAGTATTGGTTTGTTGCATCTATCGTTTTTGTGACAAATGTGTATTGGTACATCTTGCTTGTGGTAGTCTTGTAGGCAGGGACGGAGCTAGAAATTTCTTCTAGTGGGGGCAACCCGAAAATCAACTAAGAAAACCTTATTATAGTATGGCTTATACCTAATATGATAATAGGGATGATTTCAAATGATGATGCATCACAATTCCAATGTTACAAAAATTTCAGTGTAGTAGTGGAAAGTGGCAAAGTGATAAGAAAAATATTAATACATGATTACGTGAGAGAGGTTTTTCGGTTTGTGTGACATCCCGTCCCGGAAGTAGCGAACCGTACATGTAAATTTACCGTTTTACCCCTAGATTGTCTTTTTACGTTTTTGGTGTTTTGTGTGGTGTGGACATGTGTTGGGCCACACACACACATCCACACTTGCTTTCTCTCCCTCTCCCTCTGACTTTTCTCTCTCTCTCTCTCCCCCGAGCTCCATTCCTCCTTCTTCCCTTTGTAAACGTACGGACAAACCCACAACCCACCAAATCCTAACAGATCGTAGAAACCAACTACACCATTGAACTCGTGAGGTCGAGGCGAACACAGCCATACCCTTTACAGGTGAGAAATCCTTTGTTTTCACGTTGTTTCGAAAATGGCCGATTTGAGTACTATTCATGCAAAGGTTATTCATTGAGTTTTTGGGATTTCTAAGCTCGTAGGCAGCTTGGTGGTGTCACGAGGAGCCTCGGAGTACTTCGTTGGACGGTTTTGGACGTCGGAATCACGAACTGTAAGTTTGGCCGGATTTTCGTATTTTAGAAAGTTTGATTTCCGTTGTTTTTAGGCTCTAAAACTAGTCCATCGTGGTAGATGAGGTTTAGGGCTTCATTTTGGTATAAAATACGTGAAAAATGGTTGAGAAACGACGGAGAATAGTAAGTTTTAATTTTTCCCAGTTTTCCGGTGGCCGGAGTCCGGCGAGGGTTGATCGGAGAAGACAGGGGAATATTCCGTTAGGTTTAACGGAATATTCCTAACGGACGTTAACGGCGTCAGTCAGGGTTAACGGAATATTCCGTCAGTTCCAGGGAATATTCCTGACGGCGTCACTTGACGCCGTCAGCGTGCATGGCACGTGGCCGCGCGTGGGGGCACGTGGCCGCGCGTGGGGGCGCGTGGGTCCGTGTCTGTGTTGGCGCGTGGGGGCGCGTGCGGGGTTCAAAAATTATTTTAAAAATATGGTTGTGATCGTGAGGTTGTGTAGATCATGTTGGTATATTCATTTGTCCATTTTGAGCAATGTATGAGAAGTTATTTTGAACGGACGGTTATGTGCTTTAAAGTTAACGTTTTTATAGTTAATTCGCATATAGGTGACACGTATCCCGAGGACGAGCGTGCACATTCCAGGCAGGGGGGCTACGACCCTTCCACATACCAGTGAGTGGGCTTTTGTTTTCCGTATATACCTATATACGTATAAATTCCCAGAAATTAGTATAAATGCTTTGTTTTATGCCATTCTTTTTATATGATTGATGTTTATGCATGATTGGTGGCATATACGTTTAAGTACATATCCATTTATGATTGCATTATATATGTTGGTGTTGTGGAGGCGTAGGTAAGTAGCCAGGTAAGCATTATTTAACGATTGCATTAAATAACGGTTAGAGATGCTTAGAGAGCTCATAACCTGCACCCCCGGTGTTAGTGCTCCCGCCCAGAGTAGGGCACAGTCCTTCACGTGTTGTTCACCTCCCGCACCACACGCTCAGCTTGAATCCAAGTTAGGTGCACAGTCCTGTCGTACAGACCACTATAGGTGGTTCCGACTCGTAGGTGACCCACGATTATTCGCACAGCCTTCACGTGATCGTAGCACTAGAGCGTTTATATGTTTTACACCCAGGCCTGTCGTACAGACCACTGTAGGTGGTTCCGACTCGTGGGCAGGTTTAGTTATGGAAATTGAGATTTGAGCTCTAGATTCAGCCGTACAGGTCACTTAGAGGACTCCGGTTGTCAGATGTTATGATATCGATGTGATTTATACCTGAGCACTTGCATGTTGTTATGAAGTTTTGAGATGGCATACCTTTGAGCATGACTTGGCATATCTACGTATATATGTTTATTTCTGGGAAGTATACAGGTTTTACGGCGATGGGTTATAATATGTTTTATGAAATGGTTTTCTAAGAGATTTGTTTTGCCCACTCACGCTTTTGTTTTTGCGCCCCTCCAGGTTCTAGTAGCTTAGCGGGTTTGGTGGTTTTCCCGGAGGACGTCCCGGCATTCTAACAGACACTCATCTACGTAGGGTCACCTTCGGGTGCACTTTTGTTGTATTGTTTCTTTTGGACTGCTGTAGGCCTTAGGCTCTGAATTCAGTGTCTTAATTACGCTAGCACATATTCTATCACACTACATTTGCTAGTTTTTAAATTATTCACACATTTTATATTACTGTTTTAGCTTCCGCACTGTGCACATGGCTACGTCACTTCCACGTGACGGCCAGCATGCCCTGATCTCGGTTGGGGTGTGTCAGTTTGAATGACAGAACAAGAGCATTTTTGACACACCCCAACCGAGATCAGGGCATGCTGGCCGTCACGTGGAAGTGACGTAGCCATGTGCACAGTGCGGAAGCTAAAAACAGTAATATAAAAGTACGAATAATTTAAAACTAGCAAATATAA